TGCCGTGTCCTAAAAGCAAAATTTTCCGGAAAAATTGCCCTTACCCAAAATGTTAGGGGATAGACTTGACCATCCAGTTCAATTTTAGTGGGCATGAAATCTACACCAAAAGTAGGCATCACAAAATCATCGAATCGCTGATCTGCAAAACGCTTCATAATACTTGGTTATCAGGTACATTCAAGACCACAAACCTGGTTTTACCCACAGCAGAATCGCCTATTAGTAATATCTTAATAGGTTTATCCATTTCTAAAAGGTGATTTTGCAAAAAAAAAAGCATATTACAAAAGTCGCATAAGATGGAGGGTTAGGTAGAAACAGGTCTGAAAAACGAAGAAAACGTTAATGATGTTTAGAGTTATGTATCTCCATTTATGGCATCATCAATAAGACTGGATAGAGTGAAATGATTAGAAGTACGAATATATCACATATGCATCAATATAGACTGGAGCTTAGCCAAGTCTATCACACATTAATAGGGTTTACCCTGCATTGAGAGAACGAATTACCACCCCTAACGTTAACATGAAGTACTTCAATGAGTGGGAAGTAAGGTATCTCAACTTAACTCAAAAGAAATATGAAAATAATATAGGCTTGTAAATATTAAATGTGTAAAAATGCCAGGCCAATAAAACTTTCTTAAATGGCTTTTGGCAACTTAGAGGGACTATATGAATATTGTTGTCTTTAATCGCACCTAAATGTGTTTTTCCTCTACTGACAACAGCTTAACAGCTGAATTCATTCACCTCATTTACGTTACTCGTAATTACACTTCGAATATTTATGATAACAATCTACCCTAGTACCCCTTGATCCCTTACGCCTATTATGATTTCGCCTCCGTAGTTTTTGATCTAAGCAATGACAATCATTCCGGCACTCCACTCGCAATCGAATGTTTGGTTCTGCTGTGGTAGCCCAAGCGGCCGTCCACACCTACCAGTCATGCATTGAAAGACCCACCCCCGCCATCAACTAACCGCAAAGGATGCGCAGGACCTCAGACCCGCAGCCACAGATACACGCGCCCAACAATGCTACTTACCCCAGAGTTATGCATTTTTAGACGAAAACACGCTCCCACATCTAGGCACGTATTATTCACAACGCGAAAACAAAATTACCAATAATGATAACCAGAAAATTACTGGTGAGCTATAAGCACGTAGATAGCCGAGACAGGAGCACCGAAAGTAAACGCACTATGGTACGAGTCAGGCATCCTAGTGAGCATGCGCGAAGAATACTGCATAAGTTCATTGAATATGTCCATGATTCAATTGAAATCGTGCTGTCAAAAATGTAAAGAAAGTCAAAGATAAGGTTCTGATTGAATAAATCTCAGCATCCACCACAAATGCCTCCTGGCGAAGAGGTTCCCCGGTCAGAACTGTCGAGAGTAAAACCACCATCAGGTGTAAGAACTTTTCGATTGCTTTCAAAGTAAGGCGATCGAACGATCTAGAAGAAAATGCCATGTGTAGTAGCAGACAAGTGCACCAAAAACTACCAAAAGTTACGCGTGAAATAATATACCCATGCTGCAGACTGTTAGAGATGAATATAATAGAAGATTGGGTAATGCATCTTCAAAACAAAATAAGCTATCCAAGTAGATTTAGTAAAACATCAAAGCAACAACAAAAAACAAGACATTTCGAAACACGCCCTCAGTCTTTTTGAAAGACTCACGGAGGATACAAGTTGATTGAAGCAATTGTTAATATTTTCACTAGTTAAAGCACTCGTCTCGACAAAAAGCATGGAAGAGCGCAATGCAAAGTCCCTCCCTTCCTCCTTCCGGACCGCCCTATCCACCTAGAATGCCGATCGTGAAGCAAACGAACATTCAGCTACTAGGTCTATCTTGTTGCCAACAAGCATCTTCACAACATGTGGGTTATTCGTGTAGTATTCAACATTTTCGTCCCAGCTTTTGATATCATCGAAAGATTCTCGCCTAGTAACATCGTAAACTGAAGCGAGAAAGTCAACACAAAGGATAAACAAATACCAAGAAGGACG